GACAACCTCCTCACAGATGAAGAAGAGACTTGAAGCAACAGAAAGAAATGCAATGGAAATTACCTATCTCCTCGGCGAAAGAGGCATAAAGCCGCCTTGTACCATACACGGTCGTGTAAATTACCTATTGCCTTAGGACTAATTAAATACCTGTAGGTGGGAGTGAAAAAATCTGCGTAACTGACTGAGGCACACATAAAAGCCGGCAGATTTTTTCTTTGGGAGAAAGCAAGGATTACAGACGGCGAGGAATACGTTTCAACGAGCCAGCTTTGAAGTTCAAGGCCAAAGATGTGACAGGGGGGAAGGTGAGACGGATTAATACAGATATATCACTATAAGTAACTATAATTGTTATACTCGGTTTTAGTGGAAGGTCATGAAATCAAGTGGTGTGCGTCACTTCCTAACCAGTTGTGGTCCACCTTAAACAAATTCACGTCATCGGCACTTTCTTCTCTGATTTTGTCCCCCCCCCACCAAATCTTACAACGCCAAACGGCGATTGGGAATAGATGACGGGTGGGCATGTTTTGCTGAAACTAGTAGCTTCTAGTCCTGAACCTGCATGTTGGCGGCGAATTTAGTCATCAAGGCCATCATCATAAAGGAAGCGACCAGCAAAGAAGAAATTAAATTCTTGGATACGAGATAAAGTTTACGACGACTCGGTTTCAAATTGGATCTCTTTCTGATTCATTCCACATCAAAACCTGTCGGACTCATGTTCCCGCCAAGAAATAAAAAAAAAAACGTCCTCGCAGCAGGGGCTCTAAGACTCACAAAATAAATCTAATCCCCCCAAAAATACAATATAAAAAGAGCAAATCACGAACGTTGCCGCTCAAGCAAACGCATGACAAAATTATGCTGAGTCATGATCCACCCTGTCTGATTTTAAGGACGCTGCTCACGACACTGAAAGCAGTTGCGGCGAGCGTGCAAGCTGACAGCATCACCACTAGTGACCACGGTCAACCGACCCAAGTATCAACTCCAGGCCCTACCGACTCTCCCCATCCTCCAAGTTGCTTCCCTAATCCACAAAGCTTATAAAGCGACAATTCTTCAGATCCAGTGGAACTACTGAAACACTACCCAAAACGATTGCAAAACAAATTCCAAAAATGACAAACACGTGAACAACTCTCAACACACGCCAAAGACTTCATCCTGCACTAATATCAACAGCAAAAACACACCAAATTAACATAAATAAATACATCCTTTCCACTCATATCCACGCACTATCCAGATTGAGATCTTGGGGAACTGTTATACTCTGCTTCAAATCAGATCTCTTTCTGATTCATTCTACATCAAAAGCCGTCGACCGGACGAGAACGCTAAGAAAGTAAAAATAAAAATACAAAAAAGCCTCCTACTGCGCAGGGCCTCACATCCGGCTCAGAAAACAAATTTTCTAGAAAAGAAAAAAAAAAAAAAGAAAATATAAAATACAATATAAAAGGAGTCATTCACGAACGTTGTCGCTAAAACAAAAGCATGAGTCATGATCCACCCCGTTTGCTTTTAAGAACGCCGCTCACTTTGATGTCTTTCAGAACATTTAAATTGATTAAATTTATTTTAAAAATATAATTATTAATATTATTGAGCGAGAAAGTTGGGACGGGATCAAAGCATAGTATCTGTTCTCTTAATTTTAGACGGCAGAAGGTAACTGGTACCCGCAGCAGCACATTCCTCATTTCTCTAATGGGAGGTAGAGTTGGTGGATGTAAATGTGTCGACACCAATGTGACAATGGTCGCGAGGACTGGGCCATTTTGCCTTTGAGCCATATGTATGCGTATGGGCACATCACATATAAAAGGTCTTGTGGGGCGGTCAGGTAAATTATTACATGATACTAAGGTTGACAAGGTACACCAGGCACATGCATCACAGCCAAATGAATGCAATACAAGAATGAAAGGATGAAAGGATTTGATAAAAGCAGCATATAACTTTTCAGGTGGGACCCAGTTATAAATATCTACTGGTCGCGTAATCAAGTCCACTCAGATGGTCACTGGTTGCGGGGTATTTAAGTATCGATATATGACTCCCGAGTTGCCTTGGCTGCCTTATCCTTCAAAATTTTGCTGATGAACATTGCGTCAGAAGACATGCACAACTAGTTACGTTTTTATTTACGGTCAAGCAACTGAATTTTTAAAACTGATTTTTAAACGGTGGATTTTTAAACAGTGATTTTTAAACTGATTTTTAAAATTGATTTTTAAACAGTGATTTTTAAACTGGATTTTTAAACAATGATTTTAAGTGATTTTAAACAGATTTTTTAAAGAGTAGTTTTTAAATTATATTAAACAGTGATATTTTGTAAAAAAAAAAAAAAAAACTGAGATCACACACATTTTCCATCGATAAAGCTCTTCGTAATGCGTGAGCTGTACTTGGGAGTACAATTTTTTGCGTTTCCTTAAAGCGTGTGCTACTAGGAATCCGTTCAATGTGTCTACCGGAACATTTCCCAATCAATCCGAGGGCTACAACTACAACTGAAATTATCGATGACCTCATGTGCCACATTTTTAACATTTCCACTTCAAGAACCTTGTATTTTGATAGTTTCTTGAAGATCTTCAAAGATACACTACATTCTGCAAGGACTTCTAAATAAGTAAGAAAGTATATTCTGTTTTTGGTCTTTGTTCACGATGTCTGGGCGATTAGCTTTGATTGTCCCCTCTGTGTATATTGTAAAGTCCTAAAAAATTGTTACAGGTCCTATCTCTGCAACCGGTTGTGAGTGATGTTCATACCAGTTTCTTCCAGTTACGTTCCCGTAAAAGTTGCAGATTTTCCTGTGCAGATATTGGTTCACTCTTTCATGCCGCAGTGGGTGGTAACACCGTGCAACCTGATACGTAATTGTCAATTGTTTCTGGATATTTATCACAGAATCTGCATTTCGGGTTAACCCAAATGTGTATGTGTGTTTGGTAATTTCTAGTTAGCAAGCATTGGTCCTGTGCAGCAAGACTAAAACCTTCGATTTCAGCTTCTTACCCCGCACTACGTAACCCACTGATAGATTTGGGGTTTGTCTACATCAGATTGTTTAATACGATAACGGATATGTCCCATTCGCATAAATACAGTAGTAAATATGTACGTTGAGCTGCAGTTGGAGATTCGTCTCCAGCTGTGCTGGTCAAACTCTCTGTCCCCGGGCAGAGAGGATTCCCAGATGAGGCTATGTCGAAAGGCAGAGTCTCGGTTCGGGAAACAGCTACCTGACTCCGTTTTATACGGGACTACGGGGAATTTTTGGCCGAGCCTACGGGCTCGGATACCCCCACATTAAATTCGGCCTTGTGCCACATCCGACCGCGTGGGGCGGTTGATAGATATCCTGCAGTTGGAGATTCATTGTGGAATTCACTTCTCACTTCTAGCAGTTGACTACATCTACGCGCCTCTGGAGAATCTTATATGTGTTGTTCTTGTCCTAAGTATTATTGTTCACTAGCAGTAGAGCCCGGCGTTGCCTGGAGATGTAACAGTAAGAGATAGATCAAGTATCGACCATCATAAAGACTGAAAAATAAAATTGACAAACATTATTGTTTAAGGTTGACGGACACGCATGTCTTAATTAGTTTTTTTTGTTGTTGTTGTGTTTTTTTATGAATTGGTCAAACCCAAACTCAAACAAAAACATTGTTTTCAATCGTTATGAGTCTACCGATTGAATAGAATTTTATTATAAACAATTGTCTTGTAAATGGAATTTTAAAAGCATTCTGAATGTAAAAATAAAGAAAAAAGTGTGCAAGACAATAAGAAACACTACCTACCAAAAAAAGTGAAGTTTTGTTGAAATCAGTTGAAAAATGTAGGAAATCCGATCCCATATATAAACGAACACACACACACACACACACACACACACACACACAAACAACCAACCTGGGTTTTATAATAAGTATAACTCGATATTAATAAGTATAACTCGATATGAGTTGTCCCCCTTTCATTAATGCCTCTTAATCGTGTTTTCAAATTGATTTCATGCAAAAACAATTGTTTTTTTTCCAATTTTTGGCGCTGTCAGAACCACCGCAAGGTTATTTTACGTAGTCCTGTGAAGTTTTGTTGAAATCGTTTGAAAATGTAGGAAATCCGATCCAATATATAAACGTACAGACACACACACACACACACACACACACACATCACACACACACATAATAAGTTTTATAATTAAGATTACCTTCGTGTGATTATTCTATTCCGTAACCTTCCCCAGGTTACAGCAATAGTTATTATTATTATTATTATTATTATTATTATTATTATTATTATTAGTGGAACTAGAACAGTCTACCCCAGTGAGCGAAATAAAGGGTTCGAAATTCCAACCACCTGAAGAAGGCCGGAGCGTACAACGGCCGAAACGCTGTGATAAATATGGCGACAAAGATGAGGACAATAGTCCCAATAATGTAAATAATGTAGTAATAATATCTTTTCTATTTTTAAGCAACATAGTCAATAGTTTATCATGAGTTCTATGACTTTTTCCGCTGATTTTTTCTCTCCGACAATCACCTTACCCTCGCCTTAAAACAAACATGTACATTCGTTGTTTAAACGATTAAAACAGAGCACTGATGAAATTCGCTAACTACTGGAAACTTTCCTTTCCTTTCAAAAGATTCGAATGAGTCGAACCATAGCGTTCCCAAGGAGTTACATGTCGACATATTGTTTAATATTTACTTATGCGTTGTTTTGAAAATGTAGTTTTATATATATATATATATATATATATATATATATATATATATATATATATATATATATATACTTTAAGAGTTTAATGGGTGATTTCACGGTCTGTAATCGACCAATACAAGGATGCGTGACATTTTAGCCTGGTTTGCGCGGATGAACTAAAGACAAATTTTACGCACGAAAAATTATGTGGGTTTTGCGTCGATAGCTGATAAAGACTGAATTTATACAGTTAGAAAGAAAGAAAGAAAGAAAGAAAGAAAGAAAGAAAGAAAGAAAGTCGGATACAAAGAAAGACAGAAAAAAGAAGGAAAGAAAGCGAGATACAAAAAACGAAAGCATACAAAGAAAGAAAGAAAGAAAGAAAGAAAAAAAGAAAGAAAGAAAGAAAGAAACGGAAGCATATAAAATGCTAAGAAAGGAAGACGAAAGGTCGCAAAAGGAAGAAACAAATAAAGACAAAGGGAGGGAAAAGAAAGAAAGAAAGAAAGAAAGAAAGAAAGAAAGAAAGAAACGGAAGCATATAAAATGCTAAGAAGGGAAGACGAAAGGTCGCAAAAGATAAAAACAAATAAAGAAGACGAAGGGAGGGAAAAGAAAGAAAGAAAGAAAGAAAGAAAGAAAGAAAAATAGAAACGGAAGCATATAAAATGCTAAGAAGGGAAGAGGAAAGGTCGCAAAAGGAAAAAACAAATAAAGAAGACGAAGGGAGGGAAAAGAAAGAAAGAAAGAAAGAAAGAAAGAAAGAAAGAAAGAAAGAAAGATAGAAACGGAAGCATATAAAATGCTAAGAAGGGAAGAGGAAAGGTCGCAAAAAGAAAAAACAAATAAAGAAGACGAAGGGAGGGAAAAGAAAGAAACAAAGAAACAAAGAAAGCACGATACAAAAAGATACAACGAAAGAAAGTGGAATACAAAGAAAAAAAGAAAAAAACACGGAAAACAGGATGCAAAGAAAGAAAGAAAGAATTAAGGAAAAAAAGGGCAGAAAAAGGAGGAGGGATAGGAAAAACGAGGAAAAGAAAGAAAGGAAGAAACTAACAAAGAAAAAAGAGGATGGGATGTGAAACGAGGAAAAGAAAGAAAGAAAAAAAAAGAAAGAAAGAAAGAAAGAAAGAAAGCCAATATAATGAAATAAAGAATGAAAATAAAGAAAGAGAGAGAATGTATGAACTTCAATTAAGCCATATTCCAAAAAAAATACAGTTCGTATATATATATATATATATATATATATATATATATATATATATATATATATATGATATTTTTATTACAATATTTTACATCGAGTCATTTAAACACAGGAGACATGGGTCATGTAAGGATTTAAAGATTTTGTAAATCCTTAAGTGACCCATGTCCGCAGTGTTCACATGAAAAGCTGCATATTATAAAGTTTCCTGAAAATAAAGTTCTCTTAAATCGGAGAAATGAATTAACAGTAATTTGTAGGCATTGTATAATGCTTACTTTAAAATATAGTTAAAAGAATTTTTCATAAAAAATCTACGCATTACAATTACATACACATTATTTTATTAATATATAATGATCCACGTAATACTTACTTAATTCTTTGATTTTTCAACTTCAATATTGTCTCGTTTTATTGCCATTAATATATTAATTAAACTAGCTGCTCCTTTAATTAAGTTCTGAAGTATAAAAGTTTTTTTTAATTTTGAAATTCCTTAAAAATACCTTTTTGTTAAATATTACTCTTTGTCTATTTCACAGTATCTAAATTTATACTTGCAACCCTATATATATATATATATATATATATATATATATATATATAATTAATAAATCCTAATGAGCCAGGTACTATCTACTTAGGTTTCACCACATGGGATCGTCAAGAGCCAGTTCACTCTGATGATTCCTTGTGGTGAAACATAGGTAGGAAGTACCTGGCTCATTAGGATTTATTTATTCTACTGTTGCTCTACTTAACGTATTGAGCACTCTTTGTTTTAACTTATTACTCGCTGTTTTTTTTCTTTGCACCAGAGATTTAAGGTACTGGATGATTTCTTTCGCACTGTTCGGAGGTTTCTGGTGCTTTCTTTTTCTTTCTTTTTTTTTCCATTTTTCCTCGGATGCCAATTTATTTGAAAATTGTGCTATCCAGGTTTTTTCACTCACCGAGTTTAAAATATATTTGCATTATATATATATATATATATATATATATATATATATATATATATATATTACGCAAAGTCATATATTATTTACGTCTTTGTTTATCAACATTATTCTTCAAAAAATAAAGTACAATTACATTTTTTTCAATTTTATATTCACCGTTATTTGCAATGACCTGATGTCACTTATCACTTATCGATACCCTTTTAGTAAAATTCTGCAGATTTTCACGTGGAAAATTTGAATGAAATGTGCCGACGTTGCTATGACAAGTGCAACATTGACTTCCTTGCAAGGAGCGTAAATTTCAGGCTCGGATATGGAGATTTATCGCTGTCCAATGGCTTTATGCAACCCACTTTTCATCACCAATTCTGACATATTTAAGTAACGTTTATTTAGGATAATATATTCGTCATTAAAATTGATTCCCTCAAACGGAATTTACTTATCAATCAACCTTACCATTTAATTTCCAGGAAGTATTAAACAGAAACAAGAAAATACAGAGCAACATAAAGTTTTGGATATTTAAAAAGTATACTGCAAGTTTTAATGGCACGGGTAAACTAGTTGATAAATAAATGTACATAATTATTCTTCCTTTTTTTTTTTTTTTTTTTTGCAGTAAGTTTCACGCTATACAATTTCTACAACCACATACATCCCCTAGTAGATGGTGCAGCCACTAGAATTCGAGGATGCCAGTCTACTAGTGCGGCTAGCTAATCCCCATTGTAGACGCCTGCTCAGGCGCATTTTTGTCTGTTCAACACCCACAGAGCCCACCTGCGGTTTATACTGCAACTATGCTGAGCGGACGTTAGTTACAGTTTCTGGGATAGAGCGCGTTATCTAGCGTGATCAACAATCGAAACAAGGCCTGCACACTCAAACCCTCGGGCACGATGACTTGTGACTTCGTTCCTGCACAACCACCAACGGCTTCACATGGGTTCCGTCTATCCAATTTCACTCACAAGGCTTGGGTCAACCAAGTGGTATGTTTTTCAGGCACTTTTCCAAAGGTGATACACGCTGGGACCAGACCGTCACCTTCTTGACAAATCGAACATGGTGAGATTCGAAACCGAGTCTTGTGGTCAGAAAGCAAATATTCTAATCACTCTGACACGTGCCCATATACATCCCTTAGTATAGCTAAGTTAACTTGAGGAAAGAAACTAAAGCAAAAAAAAAAAAAAGTAAAAAAGAAGAAAGCTCATTAGAACGATTGCCATGAAAATATTTATAGAAAAGACACAGGGAAGCCACGTTACGTCGGTCGAAAAGTGACTGAAATCGAGATGCCAGGTCAGTACCAACAACATTACAGACCCTTCTTTGGATCTTATCGAGAATCTCGAGTTATATAACGATATTCAGCCCCCCCCACGAGGGCATCATGTGGCACAAGGCCTTTTTTAACGTGGGCACTCCGAGCCCGTGGGCTCGGTCAAAAATATGCCCATTGAACCCGTATAAACGGGTTCAGGGCCGGTTTACCTCCCCGAAGGAGACTCCGCCCTTCGGCGTAGCCTCCTTCGGGTTCCTCCCGTCCGTAGGAAGAGAGTACAACCGAACTGACTCGAGTTATATAACAGGCGCACTATATCAGATAAATAGACTTCTACCAGCGGTGCCCCTCACTAGAGCTGATAGCCTGCCCATTGCTAATACCCTGGCGACGAGCCTGCTTATGGCCCGCTGCACCTCTTCCTCGCCACGTAATGGTCCTTTTGTGTTCTTGATTTTCAGACCCCAGCTATAGATTCTTTTGGTCTGTAAGAAGACAGAATATATGGTTGTAGGTAAACGAAGACGTCTAAGATGCCAACTGCGAACTGGGTATGCCAAGATCGACCAAGTATAGAAGTTTAAACATCCCGGAGGTGTTTTAACAAGGGATAGAAAATTGCAACATCGAAATCCAAACGCGCATTGGAATACGGAAAGATGCCTTCTAAAAGCCAAACAAAGTACTAAGAAACGGGAAAATGCTGAACTGCTATGTAATATCAATCCTCCTACATGCTAGCAAAGGATGGACAATCTCTTCACAGATGAAGAAGAGACTCGAGGCAACTGAAATATGGTTCTACAGAAGGATGCTGAGAATACCATGGACGGATCCCGGAAGCAACGAGTATGTCTTAATTGAAAATTCAAACAAAAAGGACGCTTATAGTCAGAAACTATCTGACGGCTGAAATTTCTGGGACATATAATGTGGAAGAAGGGCTTGGAGAATTTGACACTCACGGGGCAGATCGAGGGTAAGATGGACAAGGGAAAGCAGCGAGTGACCTACCTAACGAACTTGTGTGAATGGGTGGGGGAATGATGCTTGGTAAACGGACAAGGGTTGCTTAGAGTTACAAGGGAGATGAAGTTGTGGAGACTCATGATCACCCATACCTGAAGGGAAAGGGCATATGGAACAAGATTCATGTAATCAAGTCAATGTAGAAACAAAAATATTCAGTGATCATTATTGTTTTCCTCTCTCCGTTCATCCCCCGACCGACATTCTACAACCTTTTGATGGTGGCGTTGAGGACTAAGTAGACAAATTCTTGCATGGAAGAGCCGATGACGTTGACTGCATAGAAATCTTAATGTTTTTTGTTTTTTATTATTGAGCCTTTCTCTAGTTATTTGACTTCCTTTTCTCTTTTGGTGGCTTTGAAGTTTTTGGTTTCAATGTTGATGGAACATTGCCATTTGGTAAAGACTTGGGCTTGTGTTTCAAATGATTTAGGCTCAAGTCCACTGGCTTTCAGTATTGTTTTGAGTTGGTCCTTGTATCTTCAAAGAGGGCAACCCTGTAGTCTTTTCCCTGCATAAGACTTGATGTGGAAACCTTAACTCTACCATTGTTGCTACATGTCCTGACTATTGAAGCATTGAGTTGCTGATTATTAAATACAATGATCAGCAATTTGATGCTCTGACTGTTGGCTCTTTCCAGGGCTTTTAGTTTCAATGTTGATGGAACATTGCCATTTGGTACAGACTTGGGATTGTGTTTCGAATAATTTAAGCTTAAGTCCAGTGGCTTTCAGCATTGTTTTGAGTTGGTCCTTGTCTCTTCAAAAAGGGCAACTCTGTACTCTTTTCCCTGAAGATAGCTTACTGAATAAGACTTGACGTGGAAACCTTGACTCTGCCATTGTTGCTACATCTCCTGACTATTGAAGCATTGAGTTATTGATCATTAAATACAATGATCAGCAATTTGATGCTCTGACTGTTGGCTTTTTCCAGTACTTTGGTGTTGGTCACATAGTAAGATTGTACAAAACATTTAGCCCCATCCACATGCATACACATTAAAAGTGTGCATGCATGTGGCTGGGGAGCCTCTTGTTAATCCCAATTCCCACTGAAACTCCTATTATAGATTTGTCATCATCTGCAGCATTATTTCGTAACTTGTTAGACATTTTGACGGTCGTCTTCGAGTATAGAATCCAGAGGTTGGCAGTGAATATTTCGGAGACAGTAGGAAATCGTAGTTCACGTTCGCAGTGGATATCGTAGCAAAGTAGCAGAGCGTAGTTCTTCCTTCTATCATCTTCGCCTGTCAAGTTGGCACTGGTCCTTCGGATAGGGTAAACAAAAA